CCAGTGGCCGCAGTTCGCTGTTCCCAGCCAATGGGATCTGCGCGAAATGGCAGCCAGCACGTTCCTGGGTTCCGCCACCTTCCACAGCTCCTATTGGCCGTGAACGACAAGCCCTGGCCACTGGGAACTGTGGGGCGCCGTGCCTGCGGACGGTCAATGTCCACAAAACGTTTCGCGCCTGCAATTAGCTTACCCTGATGGGCTGCATGTGGCCTGCGGGTTGCTCACCACTGATCTAGGACATGAAACAGAATTTAGCCTTACCTTGCCACAAACTGCACGGGGCCTTGAGTTTGGGTAAGAAGTTTAAATATGCAAGGTGATAGCCTTATACTTATCTCCTATAATTTGTATTTCTAATATGACATTTTATTAGCTATTCTTTCCTTGCTTATGCTAACATGAAATCTTTATTTCTGTTACTAAGCTAATGGGAACACTACAAATATGGCTACATCTTGTACTCAGGGCTGCTGAGGTAAGACAGACAAAAAGTGTTTTCACATTTTAAGACTCACAAAAGTTTAACTGAGAAGCAGTCAACTAGCGCTGAGCATTAATGGAACAACTGTCAGTCCAGTTACGATTACTAACTCTTCAGTTTAACTGCCTGGGTTTGTGTATAGAAATTCTTATAGTTCCTAATATAGAGGAGAATAATTATAAAGAAATTTAAAATGCTGAGAAAGTATGGATTCTTCTTCCCCTGCCTCTCTCTAAGAAGGTAATTACATTCACTCTTCTTACCTCCATTAGGACCTGGCTCAGGGGGTCCCAGACTGATGCCTCCCCAGGAATTTCCAGTCCAGCCTCTCTCTCTCTTCACCTTTGTTTTTCTTCTCTTCTCCCACTCATCCCTCTTCCGGATAATTTCAGACTGCACCTTCTCCTGCTCCTCTTTGTCTCGTTGACCAATTGTCTGGACTACCCCACTTTTCATTATAGGAGTATTGAGACCAGGCCAAAGGAAACCAGAACGTCCTTAAGAAAAGCAAAACATGAAAAGAGTTCCCTCGCATTTAATGCAAAATTAAAGATTAAAACGCAACAGTACATAAGGTGAATCTAATAAAATGGATGTTTTAATATTCACTTATATTTCAACTGCTTTTCACAAGACAGAATTTGTATTAAAAGCTGGAAATTCAGCTATGTGAAATGGAGCATCATTATCAAAATCACCTAAGAAAAAAGGAAAGAGAGAGAGAGAGCGCTCATCTCACACTGTCGTAACTCCAAAGAAATTAATGCCAATGTGCTAACTGCACTGTTTATAAAAAGTATTACAAATAGGGTTGTCAGGCATCTGGTTTTTGACTAGAATGCCCTGCCCTGGCTCCACACAGCTCTTGGAAGCAGCCAGCATGTCCAGCTCTTAGGCGTAGGGGCAGCCATGGGGGCCCTGCATGCTGCCCCTACCCCAAGCGCTGGCTCTGCAGCTCCTATTGGCTGGGAACAGTGGACAATGGGTGCTGCAGGGGCGGTGCCTGCGGGGGGCGGGCAGTACACAGAGCCCACTGTCCCCTTCGCCTAGGAGCCAGACATGCAGGCCACTTCCAGGAGCTGCCTGAGGTAAGTGCTGCTGGGCCAGAGCCCGTATGCTGAACCCCCTCCTGCACGCCAACACCCTATCCCATACGTGAGCCTCCTCCTGCACCCAAACTCCCACCCAGAGCCCACACCCCTCACCCCTTCCCGCAACTCAACCCCCTGCCCCAGCCCTGAGCCCTCTCCCACCCAAACTCCCTCCCGGAGCCCACGCCCCCTACTGTACCCCAAACCCCTTATCCCCAGACCCATCCTAGAGCCCACACCCCCAGCCAGAGTCCTCACCCCCCTCCTGCACCCCAACCCCCTGCCCCAGCCTGGTGAAAGTGAGTGAGGGTGCAGGAGAACGAGCGATGGAGGGAGTGGGAGATGGAGTGAGCGGGGGTGTGGCCTTGGAGAAGGGGCGGGGAAAGGGTGTTTGGTTTTGTGCAATTAGAAAGTTGGCAACCCTAATTACAAACCAAAAACACTATGAATAGTAAGAGCAACACATTTATCAGTCCTATAGTTATTTATGTATTTACCTTCACCAATGACCTGGCCTCTATTGAGATCCCTCCTAATCTTTTTCTTGGTTCGCTTTCCTCTTCCCTTCCTTGCTCCAGCACCGGTCTCTGCCAAAACCCCTTTCCACAGCTCATCAGCTGTCACTGTAATGAAATGGCTTTTGTAAGTATGGTATCAGAATAATTAATATTGGTAACATTACTGAACAAAATATTCAAGATGATAACCCTTAGGTGATCCATTCTGGGAATGCATAACACCCCTCCCCCCCATTAACGCCCATTTAAGCAAGCTTGTATCTTCTGCCTGTATCCTTCTCTCTCACCACTACTCTCTTTTTGGCCCTGTGTGCATTGGGTCGCAAAACAAATTAATGGAACTCTGTTTAAACACTGTTCAAAACAACAATGGTTTCTAACATGGTTTGCATTGCCACTGCAGAGGAGGTGAAACCACATAAGTACTGTGGTAAGGAAGGTACCCAGTTGAGCACTGGGTTTAAAATCTATTTTGAATTTTGTTTTTAAATCAACACCGTTCCTAGACAGTGTCATGTTTTAATGGTCTTGGTAGCACAAGACAGGAACAAAACAAGATCATTCGCTAGTAACTGACATTGGCAATAGCAGTAACTGCTCTCTGTGACACAGCGACCCATTGGTGCCAGCTGGCAAAGAGTTCACTGTTTTGTAACAGCAACTCCTAGCAGGCCTTACCAAATCACTACATCTAGCACACCACTTCCATGGTATTTATTCATAAACGATGTCATCTGACAGCTCTCAAGAAAGCTTGTGGCATACTGATCCTCTCAATCATTGTGAGATATACATACGGATGATATTTAAGAATCTGTGAATGATGAGGCATGATTTCCCTTTACAAAAACCATGTTGACTCTTCCCCAACATATCATGTTCATCTAGATGTCTGATCATTCTATTCTTTACTATAGTTTCAACCAATTTGCCTGTTACTGAAGTGAGGCTTACAGTAATTACCAGGATCATCTCTGCAGCCTTTTTGAAAAATTGGTGTCACCTTAGTTATCCTCCAGTCATCTGGTACTGAAGGTGATTTAAGTGATAGGTTACACATCACAGTTAGTTCTGCAATTTTATATTTGAATTCCTTCACAACTCTTGGGTGAACACCACCTGGTCAAGGTGACGTAACACTGTTTAGTTTATCAATTTGTTCCTAAATCTCCTCTATTGACCCCTAAAATCTGAGACATTCCTAAAATTTGTCACCCAAATAGAATGGCTCAGGTATGGGAATCTCCCTCACATGCTCTGCAGTGAAAACTGATGCAAAGAATTAATTTAGCTTCTCTGCAACGGTCTTGTCTTCCTTGAGTATTTCTTTAGCACTGTGATTATCTAGTGGCCCCAATGACTGTTTGGCAGGCTTCCTGCTTCTGATGTTCTTAGACATATTTTTGCTGTTAGATTGTGTGTCTTTACTAGTTAGTCTTCAATTTTTTTGGCCTGCCTAATTACACTTTTATACTTGCCTTCCAGAGTTTATGCTCCTTTCATTATATCAGTTAATGCTTTCATACACTGATGAAATACAGGGTTCTCCCACCCTTTACATCCTTCCTTCCACCTCTCATTAAGGTGTGATGCTTTACAGAGCATCATCATAGAACTGAACAAGACACATTCAGAAAAACAAATTAATTTCACAGCCTGCTGTATATCTTGTCTGGGCACATCTGCTGTGCCATAAGGCATGGGAAGTAACCATCTTCACGTTCAGACCAAGACCTGAAAACATGGCTGGCATGCATTTTTACTAACTGAGGTTACCATTACATAAAGCTGAAACACAGGTCTTTTCTAAAAGTCAGGATTTGTTGTTTTTTTTTCAAAATTAAAACTCAAATGATGTGACGAAGATATTCACAACATGTTATAAAGCCAGTTTTTCTCCCAACTAGGCCAGAATCCAGTAAAGAAGATAATCAGGAATACAGTCAGACAATTGCTTCAACTCCTGAGAATGAATGAGCCTGACCATCAACAGTGACCTGGAAACAACTCTCAAATGCCTCAGCCCGCAAGAGACATCACTACTGTAAATTAAATCTCCTGTCTCAGGCTGGACCACATTCTGGGTTTCTCTCTCTAAAGTAGCAGTCTGAATACCAGCAATCAGAGGAAGAAAAATAGTTCAGTTGGACAGAAGCGACTTGTCTAAAAAGCAACACAAAATAGCTGCTGAAGATCCCCAATCATGGAAAGAGATATCCTGCCTTATTCTCAATACGGGCTCACAGATCCCCAGACAATGGCACCAGTGAAGTTCTGCAATGCAGAAAGCAAGGGTGCAGCCAGCATAGAACGCCCATAACCTGCCACTGCCTTTACTCATACAATGTATTTGTAATTCCTGAGGATACACATGCATCTTCCTAATGATTTGTGGCTTATCTTTATTTTGTATTTATTTAAATTCAGTAAGATAAGGCTGGTATGTGCCGGCTTCATTCTCCTACTGCTAAAATAGCTCCAGTTGCAAAGCCTCATGTTTTCACAAAAATGTTAATAGGATGCAATACATAGATATGGTATGCTATAAAAGTTATATTGCCACGGGCTGCAAAAGGTGCATTATTTGTTTGTGGTTTTGTGCAGGTCAAATTTTTTAATACCCCATCTTGTGACACCAGACTGTCCTTGGACCACAAGCCCAGCTGTACTTACTTTGGAGGGAGATGAAAATTAGAACACAAATTGGTAACACCCAAACATTATCTAAGATTGCAGAAAAACTAACATCATCGCAATTTTAAAGTCCAATCTCTCACAATCTACCAAGATTAAAGGCATATTTCTTAGCTCATTTGAAAAGGAAGAATCCCAGCTCCCCCAAAGCATAAACAAAGAAGAAAGATTAGCTGGGGATGTGGAGGGAACCACACATGTATCAATATTAGTATTTGTGAGAGAAGTAGTTAATTTCATAGAAAGATTAAATATTGTTTAATAGGTGGAATTTTTTCCACTTGAAAACAACTTTTGCTGAATACTGTCTGATGCCAAATCAGTCATGTAGCAGATTTTAACAGCAGGGACTCAAAGAAACTAATATTGTTGATACATTTTTAAAAAGGTTAGTGAACATGCCATGGTAAATGTGTTTTATTCCAGAGTAGTAATGCTTGCTAGCGCCATTATAGTTGGAAATCTATATTCTCTTTATAAACTCATCTTTATAGGGGTTCTATAACAAATGTTTATTTCTAGGCCAACCGTATCAGTTTCAGCTGAGAATACATTTTTATGGACACATTTACCCTAAGTGTACAAATATTTTAGCTATTTGTAAGTCATCACACACACAAAACCCCCTGACAGTTTTGCATTTCAAATACTTTCCCCCATCCCCCCCAAGCAAATAAAAGGGGATTCAAAAAAATTAAAATGTACAAGTCATTAGCTGAAATATGACATCGTGTCTTTAGAGACAATGGGTTGCTTGGTTTGTAATGGGATATAGAATCTTTAGGTAACTGATACTGGTTTACTCTGGGTCCAGATGGATAATAACAAAGACAAGACAGAGCTTTTTCAAGGGCTGGCCCAAGACTGTGGAATGAACTCCCACAGGAATGAAAGACCTTCCCCTCTAAGTGCAAGGTGCATTTGTTTGCCCTTGCATTCTTTAAAAAACACATAGTATCATGTGTACACACACACACACACACACACACACTCCACTGTGTAACTTCTTCCGCCTAGGTAGAGGAGGAGAGAACACTATGATAGATGTTAGTCACATTGCTTAATGCACTAATGAAAGGGGCTTGGATACTACAGTGCTAAGCATGGTATAAGAGCATATACAGAACAGAATTACCAGAGATTGTTCAGGGACCACAGTGAAACAAAGTGATGGACTCATTCTGCTACCTAGTAGAATTGGTTTTCACAGTCCATCACCACAACTGGCAGCCTTGCTGACAGATTCAGAAAAAAGTCATGTATTGCCAGAGTATGAAATGAGTAACTTACCCATCTACAGAGGTGGCCTTCTAGATCAGAGCTGAGGTTACAAATTGGAAAGAGTGGGGAAAGAGGACTGTATTTATGCTGTAATGAGAAGAGGATTTCAGCCTCCAAAGTGGTCATGGCACCTAACAGGAACACTTAAATTCACAAATCTTTCTAAAACAATCTGCTGAGATTGAAATGTTAGCTAGTATACTTAACCTTTCTACCAATTACATATCTGCTACTTACTATGCATGTGTGCAATTAATGAGACCATTATACTGCATTTAATTTTTAATATACACATTCTTTCTGACACAACTTAACTGCCCTCAAATCAATAATCTGCATTGAAGGAAGGTGTTGAATAGTCCCATCACTGATGCACAGATAGCGAGAGACTATTTCAATCAAAGAGAACTGTTACAATCTCAATGTCAGAAAAAATTATCTTCAGAAGATGGTAACTTTGTTCCACCAAAACTAACCAGTCAAAATAATTTGTGGTTGTTCTAAATATTAGCAATTCCTTTCACCAGGAGCCTTGAAAACCCCTACTCATTTGTTCTTAATGCAAAACACACCCAATTTGCATGATCACTTCTTCAATTTGCACTTACAGTATTTCCCATAACTGTGACATAAATGGCAATTTCCTGCAATAGCTTTGGGAGATGTTACTGTATTAAGTGCATGTACCGTTGTGGGCCAGGGACTGTGTGTAATTCCATGGGGGAGGAGGACCACAGTTCCTCCAGGAACTAAGATCAGTGGAAGGTGATTAAACTAATCCACTCAGGTTGTAACACTTCCCAAGAGGTAGGACCTACTGAAAACGTTGCCTATACTGCTTCAAACTGGATTCTCCAGAGACCAAGAGATAAAGAAAGGACTTTAGGATAAATAGCCTCTTCTGGATATGCCTCCTTGAGCTGGACTTTACACCCTATAGCGCTAGTGAAGACATACCCCAAGAGTTGCAAAACAGATACAGTAGAAATGACAATAACAGAAAGATTGCACATAAATCTTACCACACATTTCCAGCTTCTGCTAAGAGGTGATCAACAATGAGCCCTTTTTCTGTAAGCACATAATCCTGGTTCGGATACTTTACGTTAGCAAGCTAATATTCAGAGCCA